GCACAGGATTACGGTGAATTGTGGAGAGGCTAGGTATAAAGCTTTTCAGCTTTACAGGGGAAAGTTTCCAATAGTCAAGCCAGAATGGAGGAGAGAAGTCGGCGTGAAAAGAAGATTGAAGGGTAGCTTTGATGAAAGAGATATGTTTAAGGGAAAGGTTAAACAGGATTCAATACACATCATACACTAAAATAATTGTCTTCTGTAATGAATCGAGAATATGTTCAGAGGAAATGGGAAAATTTAGACCGCAAAACAGCACACCGTAGTTGAATGGTATCTACCTGCCAAAGTTGCAATAACAGGTTGTAGTCAGCATGAGTAAGATGCTGGATAAAAACTTATTTAAAAACATTAATCATGATGTTCTCGACTAATTAAAATGAAAATCGTCAAGACTGACATGATCGACGGTGGAGTGATGTTAACCAGATGTATAGCAGTAGAATGATACAACACACATGGTTAGAATGAGTCCTTAAAAGAACTATTTAAATTGAAAGACGATTACCTAAAGTCCTGAAAAAGATGGCTGAAAGTGTAGCAATGAAAGACACATCCATTAAAAGGACTGTGAAAAATAAATTTAAATAATACGAATAAGAATTTTTTTTGTTTGTAGTTAAGCACAAAGCTTCACAATGGGCTGTCTGTGCTCTGCCCAACACGGGTATCGAAACCCGATTTATAGCGTTGTAAGTCCGCAGACATACCGCTGTGCCACTGGGGGCGAATGAGAAATGGTGAAAATAAGTGGAACAGAAAAATGAACCGAAGTGAAAAAAAAAGGTCTGTAGATGAGAAGTGAAGGATGTTAAAAAATATTGGAGGAAAAGAGTAGAAAATTAAAGAAAGTTAGGTCAACAGACCTGTCCGTTCATGGAGAAAATTCAGATCAGAAATCATATATATTTTTAAAGTTAAGTTAAAGTTATGGTAGTAGTTAGAGTCGAAGCCAGGGTTTTTAAGGTGTCTAAATCCTGCACATTCTTCAGCTCACGAACGAATGGAGAAAAAAATAAAGAAATAAAACAGCCTAAGGATAAATATTAAACGAAACCAGTTAGATGGAAATAAAACAATGAATAAAGAGCAAAGGAGTAGATAAGAATCCAAGAAACAAGTCAGGAAGGAATACAACGGTTAAAGAAGAAATTTAACGGAGAAAAGTTATGTATATATATATAAAAGAGTAGAAGGCAATGGTTGGTTCAAATTAAGGTAGAGACTGGGATAGTACTTGAAGGTTATGCTACAACCAAAATTATAATGTAATACCTTAGCCTGTAGTTGTCCTTATGTAAAGCAGGAACAAAGAAGTAAGTAAATTTAAACTGCAATAGAAGTAGGTCTAAAAACTTGTATGCAAGTCTTCAAATTTGCACCGCTACAATCAGGGGATCGATTCCCCTCAGTGGACACAGCAGATGGCCCGACGTGATTTTGCTATAACAACACACACAGTACTTGAAGGTCACAAACCACCTTAGCAACAAAAAAAATAAATTAATAATTATTTAAGGATGGTTTGTTTGTTTGTAATTAAGCACAAAGCTACACAATGGGCTATCTGTGCTCTGCCCACCACGGGTATCGAAACCCAGTTTCTAGCGTTGTAAGTCCGCAGACATACCGCTGTGCCCCTGGGGGGCTCCTTGAGGATGGAAACAAATAAATAGGATTGGATGGATAGATATTGACGACTAGACTAAAACGCTTTTCTGACGAAGTATAACCAGAAGAAAATAAAAATAAATAACAGATCTGCTGGAATGAAACTGTATCAAAAAGCAAGAATGAAAGCAAATAGAAAAATGATAGTTTCATAAACAATATGGTGAACTAACTAATTATCAGGAAAGGTTATCAGAAATGACTAGCACTGGGAGAGGGCTTGGAAGATACGGAGAAAATATAAAACAATGC